ATTTCCGGTATATATATATGTGTTATATCTATATTGCTCAAAAGCAGTCAATCTTTCTAGTGTTAATTATAATTGACTCATTTTCCATCTTATCAGTTGAATAATAGATTCACCTTAAAATTAGAATTGTGTGACCCTGAAGAGTTTAATATGCATGTATTATTTAAATCTTTCGATGAGTTCTTATCGAGGACACTTTCTCCGATGCGGTTAGAATCGAGACTTTGACTTCGAATTCCTTTTTATTGAATTCCTGCTACTGTCGCAATATAAAAATGTAATATCGTTTCTCTTAGGTATCTAAATGTCAATTTTATAGTCAGATTGGAGATAATGCTAACAAGATTGAATTCTTTAAGATAATGCAAGTATTTCTTTAAATAATTTTTTATTCCTTGGAGTATGTAGTGACTCCAGGTTTCAATGTATGCATTTCGAAATTTCCGTGCTGCTATTAAGACGGTATTGTCGGGTTCTATTGTGGGATTCCTGGCGTGCCCCTTGTCGAAGATAAAGACCGGCCGCCTCAATCGGTTTTCGCATTCCGATCGAAGAAAACCGATCGTGGCAAACAGAAAAATGTTTGACGTACTGTCACGTCGGTGAACAATTCCGGATTTCGATCTTAGTTACGAACAGTACACGAGTGACAAAAGATTTTCTTGTAGAAATATTCGAAACAAAAATCGTTCCCATTCAGGACAGTAATAACAGTGGAGGATAAATTACGCAAAGACAAAGAATGTATCGAGATTAGTAATTCGATAGCAATATCTCTTTTCAAAGGCATTCTTCAATTTCGATCACGCTACGCAACAGCCACATTTCCCACGTCCCGTATCCGACTATCATAGTCATTTGACTTTCTCCGTCGCGTCGTAAACTTTAATGACCGTCAGCCGCGGTATTGTTCGGCGATTATTTCTCTGAAAGCGAGCCGAGCAACAGTCGTTGTTCTGTTCTGACAATAAGTCCCGTGGCTCGACCACACGCGTTCAAGCTCGCAAACTAGGTACACAGTGTAACCGTATTTAACGACGGCCAAGTAAAATCGTAACGGGCCCGTCGATGGCGACTGGCAGTGAGACCCGCGTTCGAAATAATATGTATCTCGTTACTTGGTAGGCGGCCAGCTTGTAAACCGTTTCCTTCGGTCCGCGTGTGCACCTTTAATCTCGGCGCGAAGTGCCGTGCCGTGCCGTGTTGGATTATACTAGCCGCTATTATGTAGCGACTTTACGATTTTCGTATCTGGGCCGCGTCGAGTCGAGCGACCGAACGAGAGATCTCCCGCCTCCTTCCTCTTGTTCCACGTGTTCGGCTCTTGTACCAAAAACGGGGAGCACCGTAAATTCCGTGGAATTTTGACGCTACCGATAAACGCACTCACGGCCGCGTGTAACCGAGCAAGAATTTCGGTTTCGCGCGCCGTAAACGCGATACGGAAAAATGCGTGGACACCGCGAGCCCATTGCCGCGTGAGATCCTCTTCTCGCTTGGTTCCAGCGAGGTACCGGACACGTCGGCCACGATCTCTCGGCTCGATCACGAACTGGTTAACCCTCGTAGGTGGCTGCATCCGCTTAGAACGCGGTTGCAGGTGCGGCTGATAACACCGACAATCCGCTCGCGTTCCTGCCGCCGCCTGCCCCGATGTCGGATTATTTTATCGCAAGTTCTAATCCCGATCTAATCAACGGCAAGAGTGGTTCACCGTTTGGATTGCAGCGTCAAACGCTTTCTCTCTATCTTAATTGCGTTAATACTTTCACTCGAACGTTTAGAGGATCTTACGGTTTTTTAATCTTTCCTCATTCCTTAAAAAATTTCATTATTTATTTCAAATCGCATTCAAGAATTTCAAATCCGTATGGAGTATATAAGACTTTCTGTTAATTCCAAGTCCGTTTGTTTAAATCATTAGTCAAGCTGAAAATGTATAAATTCTTTTCATTTTATTTCACATTGCTTCTCGGATACACGAGAACAATAATCGTTAGCAAAAGGCACTCCTCGAACGTTTTTGATGTATGGAAGATATTACGAGGCTCGTTGCCTTCGGGTAAACGTCGACAGAGTTTTTCTCGACTCGCTATGCCCATCGATGGTACTCGAATTAAGGATGTATTGGCTATACAGTCAATCCCAAAAGTTTATGCATTTTAGAAACGCATTTTTTAA